AGTCATTTCCGGAAATTGCGCATGCGGCAGAGGGAGGAGGAGGAAAACCCTGACTTTTCCCTTCCTCTCACCTTCCAGTCTCCCACCAGTTCCTGGCCAAACCCAGTTGGAAACCCTGGACCGGTCAGAGGCTGGGACATGCAGCAGCAAAGCAGTGGAACAGTGAACAATGATGGCTTATCCCCTTCTTTTCCCTTCCATCCTGCCGTCCCTTACAGTCTGCAGTTTCTCACTGTGCAGTCTCAGATTGCTGAGAACTTTCTTCCCTTCTGAAGATTCCCATGAATTTCCCTTCCCGTGGTCTGGTTTTTCACGCCATTTCTTTGCTGTTCTACACATTCTCTCTCTTGCTTCTGCACCTTTCAGGAGCTGCCCGGTTCTGCAGTTGCTTCTCTGAGCTGCTGCTTCCCTCTGCCTTGCTCCTGTCTGTCTGGATGTTCTTTCTGGAAGGGAGGGTGATCAGATTCCAGTGTGTGCCCTGTTCAGGGTCTTTGAGAGGAGAGGAAGAAAAGTCTTGCTCAGGACACCCTAGGTAGAGGGAGCTTTACAGAAAGGTTACTCCTGGATTGAAACTGCAATTTGGAGGACTTGGGGAGATGAGAAGCCTCTAGAAACCAACTACTCGCTCTTTTTGCCCTTCCCATGATGCCTGCAAATGCTACTGCATTCTTTAACCGGCTGTTTCTCCCTGGCCCAGATTCTGGGGGCCATGTAGCCATCATGCCAGGCCTTCCGATGCATCTCTAGCCAACCTGCAGATGGGCTGCCCTACAAACAGGCATCCCATCTGTCACAGCTCCTGGGGAAAGCTCAGTGCTGGACTTTCTAAGCTAGGGCTACAGACCATCCAGTTCAGCTCATGTAATATATTGTGACTATGGCAGGCACAAGGCTCACCTGTCTGAGGAGAGTTGTGCACCTGCTTTTTCTGCGCTTGCTTTGCTCTCCTCTTGGTGTGACCACGTGTGCAGTAAGGATAATCACACATTTGAGGTCTGCCTGGCGTCTGTGATGACAGATCTTAGACCACAGACTCTGCTGAGACAGAGGTCCTTAGCCATGGCTGAAATTACAAGCACCTGGAGGACTCCGGAAACTCCCCGTGCATGCCTCACCCCAAGACATTCCTGCTTAATTGCCCTGTGACCAGATTGGTATGGTGCTTTTTAAAATGCTGCCCAAAAGACTACCATGCACTACGGGATCCTGTCCTGGTTGCCTGGGCTCCTGGGTCACCGACTTGCACTGTCACATCTTTCCTACACTCCGCTACTTTGTGTGAATTTGGGGGACTGCTGATCTCTTGGGATACCCTATGGTTTAGACAGGGAAAGCCTGGGGTTCTGACAAAGGACTGTGGAGAGGCCTATGCCTCACACAAATGTAGTAAACTTTGTTTCTAGTACTTTCCCACTTTAAAATGGCTAGCTAGGCAGGATCAAAAAGACCTTCTGCCCTGGGGCTGTTTAGTCTGGCAACTGGAAGAATCACTTTTCACTTTTTGTTGTTTTTGTTTTGTTTTACTGCCCTCTCGCCCTGAGTGTGGGTTGCCATTAACATAAATGCTGTAATACCTACAAGCTGGGAGGTCCTGGGCTTATGAATGGCTTTGCTTGTGAAGCCCATTGGAGTCGGAAGTTTTCCACTCTGGCTGGTTACATTCAATGCCTGTTTTCACAATCGTTTCACATATTTAATGCATGCTCCTCATCTTTCTTCTCAATATCACAGGGGTTATAAAATGACTCTTGAAGTTGGGCATATTTGAGGGCAGGTCTGAGTTGCTGGCTGAACTGCATTTGAGCTTAGACTTGAAGTTCCCCTTCCTGACCACTGGGGGCCAAGTGAGAGCTCTGCTTACCGAGCGTCGAGCGTCGTCGCCTAAGTAGTTGCTGTGAGCAGCTTAGCTCCTCAGTAGGAAAAGTACTAGTAGGGATGATTCTGCCTACAGCCCTACAGGATGTCGGGGTGAGGGGTCGGTGGGGAGCTGGAGCCAGGGGGTGGTTGTGAGGTGGTAGTTATGACTACTCTTTCTCCCTCGCTCTCTGTTCACTGGAGTTTCTTCCTCCTTAAGGACATTAGTTTCCCCCCTATTCTAGCAATCCCCCTCCTCACACCACCAAAGCACATTTTCAGTTGTAGCTTCAAAGAAGGCAACTGGAAAGGCTAATAAATTAGGTCATGTCTATCCTCAGCTGTTTAATGGCTTGTACTGACATCCCAGCAAAAGCCTTTAAGAGGTTTATGAGTAACATTCTCCCTCTGGGGTAGCTGTCTCCACCTTCAAAGCCACACCAGACCCCCCCTCCCCTAGCTCTGCCCAACTCTGAACATCTGCTCTGAACAACGGCTCCTGCTTCCTCCCCAGCCTTCTCTCTACTCTCCTCGTGTGTCAACTTAAAAAAAATGTTTAATTTATTCAAGAAACAGAGAGAGAAGGGGGAGAGAGAGAGAGAGAGAGAGACCAACCTCCTATCCACTGGCTCACATTCCAGATGCCCACAAAGGCCAGACTGGGCCAGGCCAAAGCTGGGAACTCAATCCAGGTTTCCTGCATGTGTGGCAGGGACCCACCTACTTAGGCCATCACCACTGCAAACTGGGATCTGCATTATTAGGAAGCTGGAGTCAGGAGCAGAGCTGGGCATTGAAGCCAGGCACTCCAAAATAGGACACAGATAACTGGCATTTTGATGCCTGTCTCATGTGTCAACTTTTAACATCTTGTTCATGACCTCCCAGAGCCTGAAGGAGAATTCATGGGAACAAAAGAACACGGAAACATAAATTTTGGGTTGAGAATAATTTAATCTAACAACCAACTCACAGATATTGTTCATGCCACAGTTTTCAAACGGTGCTCCAAAACAATGACTGCTTTATCACTGAAGGGGTAACATGCTTTCCTGTTCTCAGCGTACCTTAGCTGAGTGTTTGAGATGCTGTAGGCACTCACAGGTGGCCTAAGAGATAAAAGATTCTGCACCTCCACAGAGCCTGGGTCATTTCACGAGGTAAGGCAGGTCCTGGCTACTTCTTTGGCTCAGATCTCCTTCCTTCCTGGAAGGCAGGTAGTCATCAGGATTTTTTACTGTAGCTCAGCCAACCATGAAAATTAAGTGCTAGGAGGAGCATTGCAATTTTACCTGTCTCTCATGGACCTGCCAAGTATGACTAGCTCTTCCTTTTGTAACATTAAGTCAGCTGCCTTTGGAATCTGTCATTGCCTCAAATCCCTCACAGCATTGAGAGAGATCTGGGGACCTCTATTAACTCCATGTAAGGTTTCAGAGAAGACTTGCTGGAGGGGATGATGCCTGAACTGAGTATTTTTTGTTTTGTTTTGTTTTTATTTGAAAGTTGGAGTAACAGAGAGGGAGAGATAGAGAGAGAGAGAGAGAGAGAGAGAGAAAGTCTTCCATCTGCTGGTTCAGTTATCAAATGGCCACAATAGTCAGGGCTGAGCCAAACCAAAGCCAGGGGCCAGAAGCTTTATCCAGGTCTTCCACACTGGTGCAGGGTCCCAAGCACTTGGGCCATCTTCCACTGCTTTCTCAAACGCATTAGCAAGGAGCTGGATTACAAGTTGAACAACAGGTCTCGAACAGGCACCCATATTGGCTGCCAGTGCGGCAGGAGGCAGCTGTGTCACAGCCCTGGCCCCTGAACTGAGGTTTCTTTTAAAAAAATTATTTTCATATACTTGAAAGAAAGAGAGAGAGAGAGAGAGAGAGATCTTCTATCCACTGGTTTATTCCCCAAATGCCCACAACAGCTGAGGCTGAATCAAGCCAAAGCCAGGAACCAGGAACCAAATTCAGGTCTCCCATCTAGGCAGCAAGGGCCCAAAAACCTGAGCTATTACCTGCTCCCTTAAAGGGTGCATTAGCAGGATTGGAAGCAGAGGCTCTAGACTCAAACTGGCACTCTGATAAAGGATGCAGATATACCAAGTGATAGCTCAACTCTCTGAATCACAACACCCACCCCTGAATTGAGTCTTGAAGTAGGCAAGAGCTGAGTGAAAGTGGGATGAGCACTCCAAATGGAATAAACACTGTTACATGAGGCTCAAAGATGTGCAAGACTGTGGTGAGATCCAAGCATCACTGGCAGTGGATATCACTACCTGTGGAATCTGTCATTGCCTGAGGACCCTGGACTTGACAAAGCTGGAGGCAATGAGGAGCTTTTTTGGATGTTTAGAGCAGTGCTGACAACTCAAAGTTGCTTCTTAGGTGGGTGAGAGCTCTGGATGAAGGGTGAAGCCTGGATTAGAGAAGAGTTGTATTTAGGGGCTGATTGTGTTGGAAACTTGATCCCCAATGCAACAGCATTGGGAAGAAAAACCCAGTAAGAGGTGATTTGCCCTTGTGAGTGAGTTACTGTCACTATCATGGTTGCAGGTTAGTTTTCTAGAGTGAGGTTTCGGGAATTTGGGTCCCTCTCCCTCACTTGCTTTCTCACACTTTCTTGCTCTCCTTCCTTTTGCCTCAAGATTGGCACAGCATGAAGACCCTTGACAGGTGCTCCTGGACAGGTTCCAGGACTGTGAGAAATCAGTTACTTTATAAATTACCCAATCTGCTAGAGCAGCACAAAACAAACCCAGACAGGGATCTTTTTTTATTTTTTATTTTTTGACAGGCAGAGTGGACAGTGAGAGAGAGAGACAGAGAAAAAGGTCTTCCTTTTGCCATTGATTCACCCTCCAATGGCCGCCGCAGCCAGCGCGCGGTGGCCGGCGCACCGCGCTAATCCGAAGCCAGGAGCCAGGTACTTCTCCTGGTCTCCCATGGGGTGCAGGGCCCAAGCACTTGGGCAATCCTCCACTGCACTCCCTGGCCATAGCAGAGAGCTGGCCTGGAAGAGGGGCAACCGGGACAGAATCCGGCACCCTGACTGGGACTAGAACCCGGTGTGCTGGCGCCACAAGGCGGAGGATTAGCCTAGTGAGCCGTGGTCAGGTAATATGAGTACTGAAGGATATACATTCCTCCATCAGCTTTGAAATACTCAGATACATTGTCTCTTGAGGACCATTACCTCTTGGCAATTGAGGTCAGCTTTTAGACCTGAGACCAGGATTGGGGGTGAGGGGGCAGTGGGCAGATTTCAAAGCAGAATTCTGGCAAGGGAGTTGCAACTTGTTCTCCAGCTCCAGATGGCCTGGTGAAGGACTCCTTGGGGAGAGGCTGAAATCAGCCCACCTGACGGTAGAGGAGGCAGCTGAATGGCCCACAGGAACCACACACCGGCAAGCCATGGCAAACAGCCTGGCAGACAGCAGGTGCCCAGCAGGCCAGAGGAACTGCAGGTGCTCTCATTTCCTCCCTGTAGCTTTGGACTTTGTCAGGAGTTTTTTCTCTCTCCTATTCTAAGCAAAAACAATTAAGGCCAACTGATCATGGAGCTCCACACCCCACCCCACCTCCCAAGAAAAAAAAGAAAAGCTCAGCACGACACTGCATTTCAGGGGGCTGCTTGTGCTCCCTGAAGCAGCAACAAGCTGGCTTTTCAGATCACCCCATTGGTAGAAGGTCAGCAAAAGGCATTTCGCCTTCAGTGAGCGCCAGACTCCTGTCCTCACCAGCACAGGGCACTGCGGATCTTGGTTTTGAAGCTTGTCCAGAATCACTGAGGAGAGAGGCAAAGCTATCAGTGTACCCTGTGCCCACCTACACCCACCAGGTAAGCTCTGTGCACCACATAGGCCCTGGAGGATCATTTGACCTTGGTATACCAGAACTTGCTTACATATATTGAACACAACTGTGTGTTCAAGGCAGCAAGGCTGGCTGGCGCCGTGGCTCAATAGGCTAATCCTCCGCCTTGCGGCGCCGGGACACCGGGTTCTAGACCGGTCGGGGCGCCGGATTCTGTCCCGGTTGCCCCTCTTCCAGGTCAGCTCTCTGCTGTGGCCCAGGATTGCAGTGGAGAATGGCCCAAATCCTTGGGCCCTGCACCCGCATGGGAGACCAGGAGAAGCACCTGGCTCCTGCCTTCGGAGCAGTGCGGTGCGCCGGCCGCAGCGTGCCGGCCGCAGTGGCCATTGGAGGGTGAACCAACGGCAAAAGGAAGACCTTTCTCTCTGTCTCTCTCTCTCACTGTCCACTCTACCTGTCAAAAAAAAAAAAAAAAATGTGCAGCAAGGCTGTGAGTGCTATTGTTTCTGGCATGATGATAAAAGAAAGGGATACTTTTTTTGCAATTTTGTCTTGATGTGAATTTACTTAAATAAATCCCAACATTTGGGAGGATCAAGATTAGCAACATTTTAATTTATATTAAAATAAGAGGTACCTGACAGATACTTTGAGGACCTACTATTTTAATTTATGGGCTATGCAGTCTGCTATGGTAAAATGCAAAGTGTAGGACCCAGACGTTTATAATCTATTTGGGAGGACAGGACATGAAAATTTGAATACTGTTAAAGATGCATGACTAAGTGCCTGATGTGTGGCAAGGCAGTAGTGAAATTGGCTTTGGAATGAGAGAAAGATGGATAGAAATTGACATTATTAGGAAAGTATTTGTAAAGATGGGGGCCTTGCAGGGTGGTTGGATGTAGATGTGTGGAAGGTGGAAAGGGGAGAATGACTTTCAATATGGATTGTTAACACTTCCATTGAACCAACTGTATAGAACACACTTACTGAACTTGAATGAGTAGTTGGACCATTTGTGCCAATAGTGGAAACTAAAGTCCTAAAGAAAAGTCTGATGTTTGTTTCCTGTTGGTAACTGCTGGCTTGCCCTAGCATTCTGACCCACCTGACTTCTTCCCCACCCTGCTCCCAGCGATCTGTTCACCTTCAGTAACAGCTGCTTAAATGTTCACTAATTTTTAACAAACTTGTGCATAGAGGGTGAGATTTAGATAGACTGTTTTTGCTTTTTAAAAGTTCTATAAATATTGAATAGAACAGAAGCACAATATCATATGTTGAAAGATTTTTCTCCCTATCTCTGGCTTTCATTTGAATCCTTAGCATTGTAGAATAATCAATCAGTCACAGAGTGCCTTAGCCCTCTGTATGAATGACTGGCAAGAGGCCACAAGAGTAAATTTTTACTTTGGGGCAGGAATTGTGTCACATTGGGTTAAGCTCCTGCTTGGGGCACCCACATCCCATATCAGACCAGAGATCAAGTCCCACCTCCGCTTCTGATCCAGCTTCACATAATGAGCTGGGAGGCAGCAGATGATGGCTAGAGTGTTTGAGTCCCTGCAACCCACATGGGAGTCCTGGATGTTGTTCCTGGCTCCTGGCTCCTGGCTTTGGCCTCCTTAGTTCTGACTGCTGTAGGCGTTTGAAGAGTAAAGCAGCAGATGAAGATCTCTCTCTCCCTCTCCCTCCCTCTCCCCCACCCCCAGTGTGTGTGTGTGTGTGTGTGTGTGTGTGTCACTCTGACTTTCAAATAAATAAAAAGAAAGAATCCCTAGTTTCCCCCTCCAAGTTCTGTTCCTACATAAACACACAAGAAGCCTCCAGACGATTTGTGTCTTCTCCTGCATGTCTACTAAAGAAGTGAGAGTAGTTCAGTGCTTCCGGGGTTCTTATAGCTGAACGGACACAGGACAGTAATGTGAATATTAATAGATAATGGTTGACATTCATGAGTAAATCTGGACAGTTCCTTTGATGCAAGCCTAACAAAAACTTCATATGACCCTATAAAACAAAACAAAACAAAAATCAGATGAAACTGAGTCATCACTTACTTTACCCTCTTCTCTCAGATTACTCTCTGTACCAGTGGTGGCCGACGCACATATCCTATCTACTTTCCAAGTTGTTTGCTCATATCCTGGGCAATGAGTATCATTTAATGATGAACAATGACAGATTCAGATTCTGGCCTAATGGAGCTTATGCTTCGGTAGGTCTAGTAATAACTGTCTTTTAAGGCCCATCTTCATGACTAATTTCCCAGCCCTTAGCTGCTATTATTCTCATTCCTTATAATTTTAAAGCAAAAGTCTCGGTTTTTCTATTAGATGATCTATCATGCCCTGTGTTTTTTCACAGCGACTTTGTAGATATTTTCCATGAATCAGTCCTCCGTTCCCTAGTGTCTTTATATCATCTTTACAAATTTCATTGCTTATCATGACTGAATAGGATTCATCTTTTTTTCCACTCAGAAAATTATTCTACAGCCCTTCATTTAAGTGCCAGCACTGAGTTAATGAGACAAAGAAGGTATAAAAAGTGCATCTCAGACAAAAGAGAAACATGCAAAATGGCCCAGAGAGCATGGCAGAGAGTTTGGAATGATTGGCACCTACGAAATAGATGAGGGAGTGATGGGAAACAAGTCCAAATAAGTAAGCAGGGGGATGGTTGAAGACTTGAGTTTTACAGATGAAGAAAATGAGACACATGGAAGTCGGTTGACCAATAAGTCATAAAGTTATAAAGAGATTAGAACTCGCCACTGATCATTCTCCCCATCCAGGCCCAGCACTCACACACGTCAGCCCAGACAGTGATTTTTATGCTCCCACGCCAGTCTGAGACTGGGAGAGGATGAAGATAATGATAGGGAGTGTCTATGACACTATTGTCTGTATAGTTGGGCTACATGACACCTTTGTTTGCAGTTAGCCCTGCAATCTGAACAGAGGCATGAGCAAGAAGAAGCAACCAACAAAGAAAATCAGGCATACTGAAGATGCATTCAGCAGGCATCTGTGACAGGCGATCATGGCCAAGCTCAATCTCCAGCTATTGCTATGTAGACCAGCCTGTGAGCTACACTGAAACAGATGCCAAGAGTTGCCAGTTCTGCCATGATTTTGCCTCTTTGAACTTCATAGACCCAATATTTTCAGTGATACCTGGGTTAAAATTATAAGCAAAGGTGTTGAGCAGTTAAGTCATGAAAGCTATACATGTCCAATAAACACAGGAAATAATGTACAAACTCTCTAATAATCATAGGAATGCCCACCAAAAAAACCCCAACTCTTTCTTTTTTGGCTGTCGAATTAACAAAGATTAAGAATTGTCATAACTAATATTGGTAAGGACACGGGAAAATAAGTCTTCATACAGAGAAAAACTTCATACAACCTTTCCCCAGAGTAACCTGGTGATGTATCTCATAAATCATTAAAGCATATTTGTCCTTTGGCTTCAAAAATGCATTTCAGGAAAATTAATCAGAAATATGTACAATGCTAGTTCTGAAGTATTTTTTAACTTTTATTTAATGAATATAATTTCCAAAGTACAGCTTATGGATTACAATGGCTTCCCCCCCATAACTTCCCTCCCACCCCCGCTCCCTCTCCCCTTCCATTCACATCAAGATTCATTTTCAATTCTCTTTATATACAGAAGATCAATTTAGTATACACTAAGTAAAGATTTCAACAGTTTGCACCCACACAGAAACACAAAGTGAAAAATACTGTTCGAGTACTAGTTATAGCATTAAATCACAATGTACAGCACATTAAGGACAGAGATCCTACATGAGGAGTAAGAGCACAGTGACTCCTGTTGTTGACTTAACAAATTGACACTCTTGTTTATGGCATCAGTAATCACCCTAGGCTCTTGTCATGAGTTGCCAAGGATATGGAAGCCTTTTGAGTTCGCCGACTCTGATCATATTTGGACAAGGTCATAGTCAAAGTGGAAGTTCTCTCCTCCCTTCAGAGAAAGGTACCTCCTTCTTTGATGACCTGTTCTTTCCACTGGGATCTCACTCCCAGAGATCTTTCATTTAGGGTGTATATATGTTCTCTTTATTTTTTTGCCAGAGTGTCTTGGCTTTCCATGCCTGAAATACTCTCATGGGCTTTTCAGCCGGATCCGCATGCCTTAAGGGCTGATTCTGAGGCCAGAGTGCTGTTTAGGACATCTGCTATTCTATGAGTCTGCTGTGTATCCCACTTCCCATGTTGGATCTTTCTCTCCCTTTTTTATTCTATCAGTTAGTATTAGCAGACACTAGTCTTGTTTATGTGATCCCTTTGACTCTTAGTCCTTTCATTATGATCAATTGTGAACAGAAATTGATCACTGGGACTAGTGAGATGGCATTGGTACATGCCACCTTGATGGGATTGAATTGGAATCCCCTGGTATGTTTCTAACTCTACCATTTGAGGCAAGTCCAATTGAGCATGTCCCAAATTGTACATCTCTTCCCTCTCTTATTCCCACTCTTATTTCAATATTATGACTGAAAAATTAGAAACAACTCCAATCCAGCAGAAGGGATAGGAGTCACACCTAAGTCTATCATAATGTAGAGATGCAAGGGTAGAATATTAGTGTAGCACAGCATTCATGCTACAATGCTAAGTGGGAAACCAGGGCTGTACAACAGAATGTATGGTGTAAGAGCATTTTTTTAAACAATGTGTGTATGTGTAACCAGTGTATTGTGCAAGCAGGAATTATAGAATGGGAGTATAATGCAAAAACACCTTTGGTTTTGTCTCCTGCGACCTCTTTATACTCCACCAGGTAAAAAGAAGGGCGATCCCCTGACTTTTCTGCTTACACAAAGGGAATAAAAGTCCCGGGTCCTTTTAAGACATAAGACACAGTCTCAATTCAACAGGATAATTAAAATGTCTGGTCCCAGATTAATTCCAACTTACTCAGAGGAAGCAGCCACTTGGTCTTGCACAGCTGCCACTTGCTCAACAAGATGCCTGTAACAGCAAGGAGGGATTCGATCCTCCTTTTCCCTGTACGTTGCTCCCTCTCCACGCCTGTGATGGCAGGCTCTGCTCCTTCCAGGGTTGCAGTGGAGGATGGGTGGGAGCAGAGGCAAGAATGTGCATGGGATGCAAGTACTGAAGAACTCTTGCTTGGCTGGAATGTTTTTTGGGCAGAGGGAACAGTTGTTGAATCTGCGATGTCCTTCTGTAGCCCTTTGGATGCGGGTGGTGTCTTCTCCCTGCTTTCTGCTGGGAACCCAGCGGTTCACTCACACCCTCTTTCTAGTAGGTCTCTTCAGCCCTAGAGCCAGCTCTTGTGGGTGTGAACCCCATGCCTCCTCAGCCTCTCCTTGTCTCTGGGAAACACACACCATGAGGAACCCTGCAAGTGAGAACTGGCTGCCCGCAAGCTATGCGCTGGACTCTGCAGGGGAGGCCGCTTGCCTAACCCCAGTCTCTCAAACTCAGCCTTCTCAGGCCAGCGTTGGACACTGGTCTTCCTTTCCCCAGGCTGTGGGGACATACCTCAGTTCTTCTGGTGGTATGGCTGAAGCCCACTTCTCTAAAGACAGCCTCCTGATTTTCCCTCTCTCTCCACTCACCTGAACCGATGTTGGTAAGGGACTTGCAATCTTAGCACAAGGGCTTTGGGTTTCATTTTATTTTTATTTTTAAGAAAAGCTTTAGGCCGGCACCGTGGCTCAATAGGCTAATCCTCCACCTGCGGCACCAGCACACCGGGTTCTAGTCCCGGTCAGGGCACCGGATTCTGTCCCGGTTGCCCCTCTTCCAGGCCAGCTCTCTGCTGTGGCCAGGAAGTGCAGTGGAAGATGGCCCAAGTGCTTGGGCCCTGCACCCCATGGGAGACCAGGAGAAGCACCTGGCTCCTGGCTTCGGATCAGTGCCGTGCGCTGGCCGCAGCGCGCCAGCTGTGGTGGCCATTGGAGGGTGAACCAACGGCAAAAGGAAGACCTTTCTCTCTGTCTCTCTCTCTCACTGTCTACTCTGCCTGTCCAAAAAAAAAAAAAAGAAAGAAAAAAAAGCTTTAAAATGAATATATATATATATATACACACACACATATATATATATATTTGGAAGGTAGGCTTATGAGAGAGAGGGAGAGACAGAGAGATCTTAATCTGCTGATTCTCTCTCCAAATGGCCACAACAGCTGGGGCTGGGCCAGGCTGAAGCCAGGAGCCAGGAGCTTCATTCAGGTCTCCCATTTGGGGACAGGGGCCTGAGGACTTGGGCCATCCTCCACTGCCCTCTCAGGCACACTAGCAAGGAGCTGGATAAGAAGTGGAGCAGCTGGGGCTCAAATCAGCACCCCTTTGGGATGCCAGTGCTATGAACAGTGGTTTAACCCACTGCACCACAGCACCAGCCTGAATTTTGTTTGTTTTTGTAAATACCACAAAGCAAATTCTCCTGGCTGGTCTTCTCACAATGCACTTAGCCAACAGGCATTCTTGCTTTCCTTGCTTAGCTAAAACCAAGACAGGCAAAGCCCCAGTCCTGTTTTCCCTGGCTTTAAATACATGAATAATAAATGTACACACATCAGCATCTCTGATGGTGGGGATTATGAGTGATTTTATTTCCTCAAGTCTTTGGGTGATTCCCAAATTTTCTGTATTAAATACAATTTTATTTTCATAATGACAAAAGAAAAACTTCTAAAAATGTGTAATAGCAAAGCAAACTCAGTTTTGTTAACATTTGAAATTTCCTGTCGCAATGCTGAAGCATTCCCTTCTGAGCAAACTGCTCCATGCTGCTTATGGCTGGATGTTTTAGTTATGCTCTTTCAGGTGACAAGGAACATACACTGGTTCACACAAGTGGCAGGTGACGCTTTGTTGTAGGGGTACACTGGGGAAGTCAGGAGACATGGGAAACAGCCTCATCCCTTCACAGGCAGTCCCGGATCCAGACTGTCGGTCAGAATTAAGCAATGTTCTGCTGCCACTCAGCTGGGCTGGTGATCACCAGGCTGGTGGCTCAGTCTGTCTTCTCTGCTTCCCTATTTTGACTTCCTTTGCCATGGCTGATTTACTGCTTGCAGCTTTTCTCTCTGTCCCATGGTTTCTGCTTCTTCAAGATTCAGAAGCCTCAGGGCCTTCTACTCATGATACTGCTCAATGTCTTTTCCTATATGTCACACAGCCTCTGTGTCACTTTGGTCATCATGATTTCAAAACATGACAAGAAGAAAGATGTGATTAAATGGTTAATCATTCTCTAAAGTAGAGCACATGGCTGGGCAGCATTCTTGTTCATGTTTGGCTTTTAGGTCAAGCACGAATCCCTGGTTCAGTTGATAAGGGCCGGGAATGCAAAAGAACTTTGGTTTCCTTCACTCAAAGCACAATAACTACCCATGGCCACTCTGTAGGAGTGGAGCTGGCTCCCAACACATAATGGGCTGCCTCTGTGCCACAAATGTACTATTTTTCAAGACAGAGCTATGGCTTAATTCATTAGTTCTGTGGCTTAACTGAATTCTATTTGAGAGTGTCAGTGAAGAGAATAGAGGTACCAGAATTATTTGAAACAAAACGAAGCGAAAAAGTGGGAGACGGGTCAGAAATCTAGATTTCTTTTTCTAAGCCAGACATCTTTATTTTACCTAAAAGAAAACGTTCTTACAAACAAGAACAAAGTGATTCAAAGCTAAATGGACGGTGACTTGTAAAACTGAAGGCAATTATATACAAAAAATAGGCCACACCTACATACACATACCAATAAACAGTTCTTTTCATTTCCAAACTGCTTCTAGCATTACTGCTTGTTTGCTTCAATGTTTCTACTCATTTTTGAGAACTGCGTTGCTTGTTTACCAGTTGAGTGCAATTATTCTGTACCTATTCTTGATGTACTGAGATCTGTTCATTTAGAGTATATGATATCCTCTGAAGTCCTATTATCAATTGTATTGTATAACAAAGCTTCATTTAGGCCTTTTCTGCTAAGACTCAGTGAGATTTCATGATGCATAATAATGCATAATGCATTATAAAGAATGATCACAAATTTGTTACTGCACTGACGGAGTTTCTGGACTCAAAAGGCTTCCATAGCCTAGGCAGCTCATGTCAAGAGCCTCGGGTGGTCCCTGACGTCATACATAAGAGTGTTAGTTGTTAAATTAACAACAGGAGTCACTGTGTACTAACTCCCCATGCAGGACCTCTGTGCTTAATGAGTTGAATTATGAGAATTAACTGTAAAACTAGTTCTCAAACAGTTTGTATGTGTGTGTGTGTGTGTGCAAATTGTTGAAATCTTTACTTAGTACAGAGTTGGTCTTCTGTGTACAAGTTAATTGAAAATGAATCTTAATGGAGAATGGAACTAGCAAGGGGAGAGGGAGGAGGAGGAGGGGTGGGAGTGTGGGTGGAGGGTGGGTATGGTGGGAAGAATAACTATATTCCTAAAGTTGTACTTAAGAAATTTATATCCTTAAAAATAAATTAAAAATGTGTTATCGTGATTGAGAAAGAATTTGCATATACTAGAATCTGAAAATTAAAAGGATGGTAAATAATAAAAATATATAACTATGACAAGCTTTCATAAACATGTTACATAATCTAAGTAGACACAAGGATGTGTCCTGCCAGCATTATTTCACCCTGGGTACAGATTTTGTTATAGAATCAGTCTAGGAGTGCTTATAATTATAGCTAGATCTAAGGACAAAACTTAGCAAGGTCTTCTGGATGAGATACTACTATATGAAAATAATACTGCTAAGTAACAATTCCATTGACTCCATTTAATACAAAGAGCTAGGAGGAAGTGTTCAAAGGGGAGCCCTCTGGAATGTAATTCTGCAGCATCTTTGGGCGAGGTGGAGTGGCTTGTTGAGTCAGATGATTTGTACATATATAGAGAAGAGTAGTTTGCATAGCACTGATCTTTGTGAGGCAGACTTGCTAGTTAAGATGGGAAAGGCTGGAAATGTTTGTATAAGAGTTATTTCAAAGATGAACTCTTTTCAAAAATATACTACATCTCTCTGTGTAACTCTGACTTTCAAATAAATAAATAAATCTTTAAAAATATATATACTACAAACTGTGATTCCACCCAGTGAACTGTAACTGCCATTAGCATCCAACTTTCTTTGACCCAGGGAACAAATTCTGTGGGGGACAATGGCTCACAAGTCTGCATCTCCACCGTCTCCACCGGGAGCTCAGGAGCAACACACTCATGGTGCTGACTTCTAGGAAGCCACAGGGCATGTTCTCAGCATTCTGTATCCTAACTCGAAGACTGAATAGTTTTTTGACACCTGTCTTTCTTTCCTCCTGGCTTGCATATTTGATCAGTGTAAATGGCTGGAGTAGGAGAGGGAGAATTCTTCAAACTCGTATTGCAACAGGAAATTCTTTTAAATTGAAGCTAATTCCAGAATGCTAGCTATGATTTGGTTTCCTAGCATCTTTAAGATTGCATGAAACAGGGTGAATGAATGAGTACCATTTATTATAACTTTTAATTACATTATACAAGTGAAAGTAACATTCTGTCTGGACTAAGAATGAATCCATAGGAATATCACTTTCCTTTAACCTTGTTAGATGGCCCAGGCTCCTCTTTTTATCTTCTACAGGCAGGACAGCTTCTGAGGGTAAGCATTAAATTGCCTAAGAGGGAAAATCACACTTTGCATTCTTATCATTGAAAGTGAAGGAGGGATACACTAAATATTCATGCATACACTAATTCACAGATTCACTAATATTCATACATAAATATTCATTTATTCTATCTTGTTTGCTAGCGGCACAGAGGATGTGGCCAGAATTTAGCACATAGCTGTAATATAATAAACAAATTCAAGATGTCGGGATCACACACTTTATGGATTGGCAGTTTGCAGGCTCTCACCTACCTGCAGTTGTGCTGGTAATAGCCTTACAAGAGGCATCACAGCCAGTTCTGCAGCTCTGAGAAGCTTCCCTGTGTTTGTAGAATCCTAACCCTCAACTTGTCTTAACTTGCCTTACAAGTGTCAGTGGAAGATGTCTAAACATCTGTACAAAAATGAGTAAGAGGGATGAAGGGGCCGGCAGCGGAGTAAGCTGCGATTATGATGCCAGTACCCGTATGTGCATGAGTTCAAGTACCAGCTGCTCCACTTCCTATCTAGCTTCTTGTTAATTTGCTTGGGAAAAGCAGCATAAGATGGCCCAATTGCTCGGGCCTCTGCCACCCATGTGGGAGACCTGGATGAAGCTTCTGGCTCCTGGCTTCAGCCTGGACAGCCCCGACTCTTGCAACCATTTGGGGAGTGAACCAGCAGATAGAAGATCTCTCTCTCTCTTCCCTGACTTTCAAATAAATAAATAAATAAATCTTTATATAAAAAAGAGGGAAAAGTTAAAAGAATCTCCTTTTTCATTCTTTTTTGTTCATTTGTTGGGTTATTGAACAAATATCTATTAGTTGCCTGCTGCATGGTCAGGAATTCTAGCACTTGACTTAAGGAGCTGACAATCTAGTGATAGGCCAACCAGCAAGAACAAGGTTCAGAGACTCAGTGGAGGAGATTTTTGTCCCTGGGCAAGTGTTGAATAGTTCAGTGTTGAATAATTGTGGGAAATAACCATACCCACTCAACAAAGGGGTCTGAATCGAGGTGGAAGCCTAGCTCTCCCACTTCCCACTTTGCAACCTCTGGCAAGCTTATTTCCTGCCATGGTTTCCATTCCTTTGACTGTAAATGAGTATAATAAGATTTAACTGCATTGGACTTCTGTGAGGATTAAATGAGATAATTTATGGAGAAAAACTGAGCACAGTGGCTGTCACATACTTTAAGCTCAGCATTTAATTTTAGGCCCCCTTTCCTTCCCAGGGAGCAATGTGATTACAGTGTGCAAGACCCCTTCATGGGGCCAGCATTGTGGCACAATGACTTAAGCCTCCACCTGCAATGCTGGCATTTCATATGGGCACCAGTTTGAGTCCTGGCTCCTGCACTGCTGTTCCAGTTCCTTGCTAATGTGCCTGGGAACACAGTGGGAGATGATCTAAGTACTTGGGTCCCTGCCACCGTTGGGGGAGACCCAGATGGAGTTCCTGGCTTCTGGCTTCAGCCTGGCTCAGCCCCTACTGCTGCTGGCATTCGGCGAGTGAGCAGTGTCTGTTTCTCTCTCTTTGTAACTCTGCCTTTCAAATAAATAAATAAATCTTTTAAAATACTAATTATTTTTAGAGAAAAGACTATCACATTTGGCTGCTTTGTGAAGGTTTTATAAGTATCACAAAATACTATCTTCATCTTCAGTGAGGCTATTGTCAGTTTGAATCCGGACTCATGCCTTCTTCTCTTGTAGTTGTTTCATTTTAATTATGTAATGAAGGGCCGGCGCTGTGGCGCAGTGCCAGCATCCCATATGGGCGCCAGTTCAAGTCTTGCCTGCTTCACTTCTGATCCAGCTCTCTGCTGTGGCCTGGGAAAGCAGTGGAATATGGCCCAAGTCCTTGGGCCCCAGTACCTGCGTGGGAGACCCAGAGGAAGCTCCTGGCTCTTGACTTTGGATCAGCGCAGCTCTGGCCATTGCGGCCAGCAGGAGAATGAACCAGCAGATGGAAGACCTCTCTCTCTCTCTCTCTCTCTCTCTCTCTCTCTTTCTCTCTCTCTCTCTGCCTCTTCTTCTCTCTGTGTGTAACTCTGACTTTTAAATAAAATAAATGAATCTTTAAAAAGAAAATTATGTAATGGATCCAGAGAGATGAAGCAAAAAGAAAAATCAAGAAAATGGAAGGGTGTTTGACAGGAGAGAATAAATGAAAGATTGGGACTTCTCAGGATGAAATGGGGAGACAAACTGCTGAGTCTTTGAAATCACAGACAGAGCTAAATAGGGATCTGTTAGCCACATTTTAAATAGGAGGGTTCACCCTTTGAAACATTAGAAGTGTGCTTAGAGTCACAAAAGGGGAAGACATCCCTGACAGCTTCCTTTGTTTTATAAGTGAAGAAATCCAGGTCCAAAGAGAAGACATTTTCCCACACTCATATTCATTTATTTTTTCATTCGTTCACCAACAGACATCATTCAAGAAAAAAGATAGGCAAGGTCCTTGATTTTACGGATTGTATTTTAGTGGCATATAAGGGAATCAATAAAAATGTAAACAAATGAAAAAGATGATTTTAAAAGAAAACTAACAAGATAGAAAGATATAAAAATGTGAGAGAAAATGACTATAGTTGGAGGTAGGAATAATTTATTTTGGAGGATGAGGGAAGACCTTTGTAAGGATGTGACATTTTAGCTAAGGCCCAAATGAGACAATGGAATGGCCATGAGGCAAGGTAGGAAAGAACATTCCCAGGGAAGGGAGCAGCAAGTGCAAGGTCCAGAAGGCACCAGCCTGGCTTGTTAGAGGAACAGAATGAAGGCCAAGTGCTAAGTGGAGAGGAAAGGGATGATTAAATGTGGTAGGCAGTGCAGAAGGCCAGGCGCTGTACAGCCTTGAAGACAGCTGAGTTTTAAATTGTATTCTAAGCATGATGTAACTAGAGACTGACACAGGGAGTGACATGCTGTAACTTATACTTTATTTATTTATTTAAGATTTATTTATTTGGAAGGCAGAGTTACAGAGAGGCAGAGACAGAGAGAGGGAGAGAGGGAGGAAGACAGAGAGATCTTCCATCTGCTTGTTCACTCCCCAAATGGCCAAAGCCAGGAGCCAGGAGATTCATCCAGATCTCCCACGTGGGTGCAGGGGCCCAAGCACTTGGGCCATCTTTCACTGTTTTTCCAGACACATTAGCAGGAAGCTGGATAGGAAGTAGAGCAGCTGGGACTTGAACCAATGCCCTTATGGAATGCCGGTGCTGCTGGCGGCAGCTTTACCTGCTACACCACAGTGCTGGCCTCCGTAACTTACATTTATAAAAGATAATATTAAGTAAAATCTATAGGACTTCAATATTTTTTACCAGGCTCCTGTACTGGGCTCCAACAAACCAAACCAAAATGGAGTTAGTTAAGTGCCATGTAATCAAACTGAAACTTCAAAAATGCAGGAAAATCCCCAAACAGGCCAATTTTCCTAAAAACCAGGATGCTCATAGCAACCAAACAAAATGAACCTGCTCAACCTGAACCTACATGATAAGGGAGTCCCCTCTGCTTTCCTTCTTACAATGAAAGTAACGCGATACTGACCAATCTGCTTTTTAGTATTGCCATTACCTTGTTCCTGCTCCACTGGGCTTACAAAAACCACCATTCTAAAAAAAAAATAAGAAGAAGAATAAAAGAAAAATAGATAAATATATCACTATTCTGCCATTGCCAATGGATCTCTACAGATGGGATGCTGCCCAGTTCATGAATCAAATCTATAACAAAAGCCAGTCAGATCTTTAACAGTTTGCTGAAATTTTCCTCTTTGAGAATTGTTGCTGTGTTAAGTATGGATGGAAGAAAAACCAAAGTAGAAGCAGGGAGACAGGGGTTCCTGCAGTGAACCAGGTGAGAAACAGTCATGGTTTTGACCCGGAAGTGGAAATACCTGATAGACTGTGAGTGCCAGAAAGGTGAGGATCTGTGTCTGTTTTCCATATTAATGTATTACAACGTCCTAGAACAGTGCCTGGCATACGGAAGTGCTCGATAAATATTATTTGACAATTAATGGGTATTTTCTGAAATTATACTGGAATCTGGGTTTGTAATAAATAAAAGTGTCAGCTCTTCTCAGTTCATGTATGAGTGCCTTATTTGCAGTTAGAGTAGTATGTGTTTTTAGGCTTTTTGGTAAAAACTGTCGCTCCCCTCTTGGTGGAGGAATGACACTAAACCCTGCCTAGGCTTCATATCCGAGTCACGGCACCATTATGTCGCTCCCCCTCTTCGCGGAGGAACAACACAGGACCCTGCGCTGTTCTTTTGTCTGCTCGGCCCTCCCCGGGTTTGCTGCTGGTTCTTCCCGGGTTGGCTACCGACCCTTCCACCTCCGTGGAAGGGCGGTTCCCCTGCCACTTTCTCCACTTCCTCGGGGGAGCGGCACACCGCCGGCCGGCTCTCTCGGGGGCTGCACAGGTGTTCCTTCAGATAGATGTTCCTGGTGCATGTTGTCTCTCTCCTCCTTTATAGTCCTCTTCCACCAATCCCAACTCTGCTACCCACACGCCGAGTTCGCTGCTCTCCTCCAATCAGGAGCAGGTCCTGCTGTTTATTGGTTGAACTGGAGGCAGCTGTGTAGAAGCTGTTTCCTCCTCTCCCAGTGCCATATTGTGGGAGAGCAGATGCATAAAATAAGTCTTAATTCGAATAACAGTCTAGTCCGAGTTGCTCCCCACAAAAACGTGTTCCATATTCTTAGTAATTGTACAGCCCAAATTGTGACACCAGCCAGTGCATTTAGTGCAGGATGTGGCCAGTCCAGTGAGCCTTGCCCAGACTGCTCCCCCGTCTTGACTGTGCCATCTAGGCTGTTAGTGAACATCAGCACTGCAGAGTTCAGTTTTCTGTTAAATATGCTGTTGCTTTAAGTGCATTGTGCAGATCCAAAGTGCATTGTGCCAGGCCTAAGTCAAACAGCTGATGCTTTTTGAGTTTCTTTACAGAAAAAGGAAAACTTTCAGGGCAAGTCTTTTTACTGCTATTGACTTCTGTTG